CTTTCCACTCATCAAAGTAGTGATGGCATTAACTTGCTCATGACGAGAACTTGAAGGTGTGGTCTCATCAATCATGTGAGTTTGCCTGACTTGATTTGCAATTGGTTGACTTAGCAGTTTTCCTTCCTTCCTCTCTTTAAGTCAACACTTTAACTATTTGCCCAACTTGAATCTCTATCTTGGCTATAGATTGGGAATGGGAATATACTAATTGAGTGGTAGAATTAAAATCATTAATTACAGCTGAAACCTTCTCTTCAAATTCAGACGAGTACCAAGGAGGAGGAGGATCAGGATTAGCTTGGTTCCTAAATTAAGAAGGATAGTAGATGGAAGATTGATTGAAAGAATTATTTTGCAGAGGATTGGATGAATTGTGGCACTGTCCCAGAGATTAGGGAACAGTATTGCCTTGGCTTTTATTCTGCCATGATATATTGGAATGATCTTTCCAGCTAGGATTATAAGTATTGGAATTTGGATTGTAACCCGAACTGGAGAATGCAGCATTGGTTTGTGCTTGTGGATTTTTAAAAGATTAACCCATGAGAGGACAACTGTTAGCATAATGAGATGGACTAGCACAAACATAACACACCTCCTTTGGCAAAGAAGAATGCTGAGATGAACTAAGAGCACTGACAGCTGACAATACTTGGTCAAACTTTCAATTCAACACTTCCATTTGACTGGCAAGCTCTTTAGATTTTTCTACTTCTTACAAACTTTCAACTTGAAGGATACCAGGAGTGGACCTAGACCTAGAGGAAGAAGCGTGTTATACAGAAATTTTCACTTACGGCCTTAAACAGTTCCCAAGCGTCATTTGGACTCTTATGAAGGAAACCACCATTACTAGAAGCATCTACCATATTCCTATATGGATCATGTAATCCATCAAAGAAGATTTGCACCAAATGCCATTTAGCAATATTATGGTGTGGACACTTTCTCAGAAGATCATTGTATCTCTCCCAAATATCATGAAGTTGTTCACCCGGGATTTGGGAGAACGTTATGATCTCTCTTCTCATTTGTGTGGTTTTACCCACAGTGTAGTATTTTTTTAAGAAATCTTGTTGCAACTTATCCCATGTGCTTATGGAATTATAAGGTAGGGAGTGCAACCAAGTTCTAGCTTTGTCCTTCAGAGAAAATTGGAAGAGTCTCATCTTAAAAGCATCATAAAAAAGAGTGGATAACTTGATAGTTGAACACAACTCTAGAAATTCATCTATATGCTTATAGGGATCTTCAATAGCAAACCCATGGAAAGTTGGAAGCATTTGGATCATAGTTGGCTTGATCTCAAAGTGGGTTGCATTAGATTGTGGAAATTGAAAGCAATAAGGGGATGTATATGAGGTGGGAATGAAGTGATCCCTTAATTGTGGTTGTGGTGGAAGAATAGGTGTTTCTGGCACATGTGCCCCATTTGGATCATCACCATTATTAGCCATGTCTAATTTAGAGAATTTTCGTAACAATTTAGGCTAATTTCAATGGTAACAAGTAGTAACAAAAAGAAAAATTTCAAGTAAAGAAAAACAACAAAAACTCACAAAAGGTCCTGAAGCCGAAGCTTTTATTCCTTAGGCATCTTCGTCCTCCCTGCTAGATTCCTGCACTTGAAAAGAAAAAGAAATAAGGTGAGATAGTAAAAAGTCCTAAAACTATAAATTAAACTAGAATTAATCTCGAACTCAATAAATCCATAACACAGTCCCCGGCAACAGCGCCAAAAATTGATGTGTGTTTTTATTTATCAATAATAAAATACAACTCACAATAGAACGAATCATTGTAGGATAGGGCTATGTTAAGGGTGTTGAACCTCAAGGACTATAGTGGTTTATCAAGTCTTCAATTAATACTATTTTAATTTAGAAAGAGGATTTGATTTGTTGTGTTGTGCTCTAATTCAATAACATAAAAGAAAATAAACGGAATAAAAGGATTGAGATCAAGAGAAGAAATACTTAGGGATTGACTTCACCACGAACCTCATACTATGGTTAACTGTTCAACCTTAGGATTTCAATAATTATGTATCATATGGAATTAAACTCAATAACATTCGTTTAATTCAGATTTAAAGAAAGATGTTCCATGAAATTCAATTAACTATAACATATCTTCGGTTGGCACGAATTATCTACCTACCTACTCTTAACTAATTTTGCAATATAACCCATCTTCCCTAGGCATAGACTATGAAAACATTCATTCATGAAAAAGGTTTAAACATCATTGCATGATCTCCATTCTTATGTCCGATAGGCCTCCACCAAATACCGTCCAATAAGAATGGGTTGAATATAATTTAAGAATAATTAAATCTAAGACAAGGTATTAATCATTCAAAAACTATTTAATAATTAAAATCCATTTGAATTAAGTCAATTGCCCAAAATCATGCAATCAAAATACATAATATATTAAATTCCCAAAGTACAGAACGATCAAACCATAGTATTCGGATTGGGCTACATCAATGCCCTAAGAGAGGAATTAGCTACTCATGACGACACAAGATATCATCTATGTTGTTGTGGTCTTCATCACCATGGACTGCCAAAACTTATTTTGGATCTTCTTCTTCAAAACCCTAAAAACCGCCGTGAGAGAGATATTAGATGATGGATTTTTTGGATGCCTCCATTAATGTGTCTTCTCATCTTCTTTTATAGTGGTGAACAAGTCCCAATCCCCTTTAGATTGGTTTTACAGCTTTTGGTAACAATTGGGACCATAAAGAAACAAAGAGGAGTCAAAATATATAATTCCCGCATGTATTTTGCTCAAGTTCTGGAGTCAGGGCTTGAGCTTAACCTATTAGAAACTTGTTCTGACGTTGTAACGCGATTTTGACACATTTAGAGTGCGAATCTCAAGATGACTATTAGAGACAAAACATCGAACTTCGAGTCTTCTTTCCAGAACCACTAAGTTTGCTCAATTTAGAGTTTTGAGTCAAAAGTTATGCCTAAAATACTGAAGCAGGTCTAGAGTTTTCAGCAATGCTCAAGCCCTGAGTGGTTGTGCTCGAGCTTTTTGAGTTGGTCTCGAGCTTTGAAGCTTAGGCTCGAGCTCTGAGAGCAAAATTTGTTTAAAATATCTTTTTATTGATGGTGCTTGATCCTCTCTTCATGGTGCTCGATCCCAAGGTGTTGGGCTCGAGCTTTGGCATTATGGGCTCGAGTTCTAGGTGTTAGTGCTCTATCCCTGAGGCTTAGCATGAGGTCCTAGGAACTTAGATAAACTTTTCAATTCCGACGCATCATGTGCTTTAGCTCTTAAGCAAAGGCTCGAGCACCCTTTGGTTGGGCTCAAGCTCTAAGGGTCAAGGCTCGAGCTTTCTTGCCTTTGGAATTTCTTGTCTTTTTCTACTGAGCTCGAGCCATAGAACTAAGGCTCGAGCTTCTGAACTTGAAACTCCCCAAAATTCACCATTTTGACTCTCGGCTTGCTTTGAATGACCAGTAACGACTCGGTAAACTTCTTTATCATTCTTTTCATTATAAAAGCTCGATTTTAACCATTTCTTTGGGAAAGTACCAAAAAACACGAAATATACAGAAAATCAGTTTAACAATGGATAGAAGTATCACTTTAGGTCTTAACATACTTATAATTAGAGGCTCGAATATGCAATATTCAGCGCTTATCACCCACGACGACGAAAATCCTTGCTCTTTGGTCGCCGTCGTGGAACTCTCACAGTGGGCTTTTCCGACTACGTCATGGTGGTGGGAATATATTCGATCTCTGGCATGGATGATCTGAGGAGGATTGATGTCGCTTATAGCGTTACCGGATTGACCTGCAGAAAAGTTTGTTGCTGGACTGACCTGTAGTGGTGATAGCCACCGATTGGTCGAAGTTAGAACTAAAAGTGAGATGAGTATGTCGCTGAGTCAAGTCGAACTTAGCATGAGTGAACTTTTTCACACCATTGTTGTCATTCTTTACAACCCCTTTAAGCAACTAGTTGTTCTCTTCGTTGCGGGTGGCTTGCTGTGGCGCCATTAATTTATAGGCAAGCTTCTCTGAGGATTGAAGATTAACAGGTTTCGGAGGGTTTAAGATAAAAATGTTGAGGATTATGGATTTGAGGGTGAGGTTGGGAATGAGATTAGAGAAATCGAGGTAGAGCCGTCAGAGAATATGGGTCGACCACTAGAGACCCAGCTATTGGACAGATCTCTCAACACAACACGCTCCCATGGTCGTGTTGTTGGGCTTTGCGCCAGCAGTTGTCAAGTTTGGTGAAAATTGAGAGGTTGGGTATGGGGTTGATGTTTAGGGTGATTGAGGAGGGAAATGAGAGATATATGGTGTTGGCTCTGCCGATGGCGGTGGAGGTGGTGGTGGCAGCGACTGTGACATGGTATAGGGTTTGAGATGTGGGTAAAGAAGGAGAGGTAGAGAGAATGAAGATGAAGAAGAAAAGGGTTATTTTGGTCAGTTAAAAAAATTCATATGGTCAATTTAGAAGTCAAAGGGTAAATATGTCCTTTTATTATGGTTGGTGTCTTTGTTTAGTTTATCAAACATGGGGTGTCATTGTCCAAAAAAAGCATAAATTGTATTTAGGTGTCTTTTAGGCAAATCTGAGGGTCACTGCAATTTACCCTAACAAAAAAAAATATATATTTATTTTTGTAAAATTTATTAATATAAAATTAGTATGAAAATTGATACTTTGCATTGAAATGGATTTCATTGTATTTTTGTCATTTCATGTCAAAATATAAGGTTATTGGAGTTTTTTTAACACAAGCAAATGACAATTTAGTCATTTTTTGATTTTTCATTAACGACAGGGGTATGGTTGAGAGGTCAAACTAATAAATATCAAATAATCTACATGTGTGTAATTTGTCAAAACCTTAGGGATGTCACTCTAATTTACTCAAAATTATATACTTTTAATATATAGTACAGTTTTTAAAATAATTTTCTGGATATTTTTATTGAAAAAAATTATTTTTTCTTTTCCTTTCCTTTTCCATCTAAACCCAACCGACCCCCTCAAATCAAATTCTCTACATATCGAATCGATTTCAATCAAATCAACGCCCTTTCAATCTAGCAGTCATCTATTTCAGTGAGGAGTTCACCTGCAACGAAGACGATGTCGAGTGTACCTTCATCGGCTTCGAGCTCCGTCTCGGTCCCGGGTTCGAACCCCACCGCCGTTTCCTCGCAGTTCACGTACTCCAATGGTTCTTACTTTCCGATGCCGTTCCACCTCCAACAACAACCACCACAGCCACAACAGTACGTTGCTGGTCCTCCGCCTGCCGTGCAGATTCCCACGCCACCTGCGGTCTATCCGGCTCCGGCCTCCCTCCCCGGGGTTTACTCGCTGCCGCAGTACCAACAGGTGAGTTACCCAATTGGGTTTTAATTGAATTCAATTCTCCTTTTCTTTTTGGTTGCTGTTTATTTCCTGCAAGAATTAGATATTTCTGAAATTCATAGCGTTTGAAATAATGGTCTCCCCTATATTATCAATGGCATAGTCAAGAATTTACTTCTGGGGCAACCTAATATGATGAGAATGTTAAATTTGTTTTTTTCCCCCTTAATATGTGTAATCGAACAATAATTCATCCATTGATCTCTCACCCTGCATAGTAGTAAATGTCCTTTTTATTGTATCAGTCATAACTAGTAGACTAGTAAAATCATTGTCAATGTCGAAAGCACGTAAACTAATGGATAAACCTTGTCTGTTCCTGTCTAAACCATTATTCGTGCAAGATTACCTATCCCTTTCTTCTAGGAATGGCACTTACGTGGGTTTGGGGCCCCTTCCCCATCCTTGTCCAAAATCATTTAGCAAAAGACCACTCGTACACCATTCCCGTCTCTGTTTAAATTTTCCTGCACTGTCCTCACACGCCCTATTTAAGTTTCCACTAAGATTTTAAAAACTTACAGACAAAGAGTGAGCGAGGTCTCACTGCCACTGCAATGAGACAGAGAGGGGTCTTGCTATTGCTGCTATATGTTCTGTTAGCAATCCCCTCATTGGGAATGTTGTATACTCAAATTGACACTTTTGTATGATTAGAAAAACCAATCTCCCTAAATTATGTGCTTTGGGGCCCTAGAGAAGGTAGAGAGTGAGCAAACTTGAGCGGCTGAACCAGATATCATGATTTGGGGTGTGGCGAGACATGAGGTGATGGGCACTTTTTATGAGTTCCATTCGACAAGGAGATTCGAACAGTTGTTGGATGCATCTTTCATTGCCTTCATTCCTAAGAAGGGTTGTGCATCTGACGTGAAGGACTTTAGACCGATAAGTTTGTAGGGGTGTATTTATAAGCTTATCGAAAGTCCTTGCATCGAGATTGAGCGGGGTTCTGGATGGAATCATTTCTGAGTCTCAAAATGCTTTTATTGGAGGTAGACAAATCTTGGATTCCGCTCTTATCGCCAGTGAATGTATGGATCACAGGTTGAGTAGTGGTGTTCCTAGAGTCCTGTGCAAGCTCTACATCGAGAAAGCGTATGATCATGTTAGCTAGAATTTTCTTTTGTTACCTGGAATTTTCTTTTGTATCTATTAGGGAGGATGGGATTTGGAGAGAGATGGAGGAGATGGATCGAGGCTTATATTTCTTCTGCGAGATTTTCTGTGTTGGTGAACGGATCTCCCTCCGGTTTTTTTTGGTAGCTCTTGTTGTTTGAGGCAAGGGGATCCCTTTTCTCCTTTTCTATTTATCATTGTGATGGAGGCTCTCAGCAGGTTGATGAGAAGGGCAGTGGATCTGGGCTCTATTAGGGGCTTCAGAATGGCCCAGAATCGGTTCATTTGATGGAGATTTCTCATTTGCTATTCGCGGATGATACTCTGGGGTGCGTTTAGTAACGAGAAACGTTTCTTATTTTCTGTTATCAACCTCTAAAAAGGCAAAACAAAAACAAAAACCGCGTTCAATAAAATTTTTTTTTTTTTTCTATAACAGAAAACGTTTTTAATTTTTGTGAAGAAAAGAGGAAACATAAAAATGATGTTTCCTATGTTTTTGGCACTGTAGCGTAGAAACGTTTTCACTAATATTACTACACAGGCATTATTCATTTCAAATAAAATTCATATTATTTGTGTTATATACTAAGTTGCATATTAAATGTTAATAAAAATATATATTTTTAACGATTTTGTGTAAAATATCATTTCATCCTCTTGACGCTCGACCATGTTTGACTTTTCTCTCTTCTCTCCTTTTTTTGACGTCGGAATCTTTCACTCCGGCGTCTGTCGTTTACATTTATGTTCTTTGCAATTGGATCTTGGCTTTTCGGCAAGGATTTCTGTTATGCATCGCTCTCATCTCAGTGTTGCGACCTTACCTCGTCTCAATTTCAATGGTGATATTAAATGTTGTTCTGTTGGTGGTGATTCGGTCTTTAGGGTCGATCATCAAAGCATCAAGGAACGTGAATCTGTCTTGCGATCATGCTTGGTTAGTTGCTTTAATAGAGATGTGGGGCGTATTGAAGGGATTGAGGCGTGGGCGACGAAAGTTTGGAAGGTTTCTAGTGGAGTGAAAGTTTCGTTCCTTCCCGACGATCTTTTTCTGTTCAGGTTTCCGTCGGAGCATGAGGCTTTAAGGGTTCTGGATGAAGGAAGGAAAAGATGGGGCGATGCATTGCTATCCATCGACATCTGGTATTTCGCGGTTGGATGCTCTGCAGTGAGAGATCATAGCATACGGAGGGTAATGTTATTTGGTTTGCCCCTTCACCTGTGGTGTCACAAGTTTTTTGAAGAAATCGGAAATTTATGTGGTGGATTTAGAGGTGTTGAGGCGGATGTGGCAGTGAGCGGAGAGAGAATCCTTCTCTACATCTCCGCCGGAAAAACGATGCCAAAGTATTTTTTTGTTGAGGATCAAAGAGTGGCCTTTAAGGTTATTTTGATTGAGGAAGTTACACCTCGTATCCTCCTGAAGTCTCACTATGGTGCTGGGGAGAGTTCTCACATGCCGCGTGTTGAAACGATCATCAAAGGAGGTCGCTGAAATTTACAGCTCCGGCAAGGCCTTAAAGGAAGTAGGAGATTGCATGCACACGTGCCTGAAGTGCGTAGAAAGGGTAGGTACAGGAGTCGTATCAATCCTGTCCTTGTTCAGCGCCCGCAATCTCGATACACCCGTTTCACAAATCATCAAACACGTGGCACCGATTGTGGCATTAATGGAGCCACTAATGCGTTAGACGCTGATGGGCTTAAGTTTGGGCCCGATGTACGTTCTGGGCTCTCTTTGTCTAATGGGTTCAACCACAAAACTCAGAAATTTAAAAGAGCCGTTAATTGGGGACCAGCAATCAGTTATCAATATTAGTACTAAATGAGAAGCCCACTTCTCTTATCTTGACAAAGCCCAAACGTAATGGGCAACATTTGAGTAACCCAATGACCAAGATATCTCGGGGGCCCATTTCTTTTCTTAAATCAAAGCCCAGTCCACCTCACTCTCATTCTTCGCAGAGTCCACGCTTTAATGGCTTCTCCGGAATTGTCTGGAATTTGCCGGCGAAGAAGAGGTGGATGAAGCTTTCTGTTGCCGAGATTGGTGTAAGACCTGCTGAAAAAGGGTTTCGGCATTCTCAGTGTTGCGCTAACATCTCTGTCAATCCACAGCTGAAGGGAAGCACTAGATCTCTGTCTTAGGGCTCTCATGGAGTTCGGTGGTCAAGAAAAGAAAAGCAGAAGTGGGTTTCTTCTAATTGTCCAGGTATGTCTTCAGATCTTCAGAGTCCCTCTTCTGATCCTCCCTCTTCTTCTACCCCTTCATGCGAGGTGATGAGGGGTGATGCAGCTGTTACGGAGAAGATGGATGGGCTGCCTTTCTCGAATTCTGAGTTTAATGGCAACGAATTTGTTTCTCCTGGCGAATTGGTTACCGTAGGCAGTGAAGTGAATGATCCCTTTGAAGGAGTAACGGTTTATGTGGGAAAAGATTTGCAGTTTAAATTGTCCAATGATGAGGCTGTAGCTTTGTTCAAAGAGCTACGATTAAATGTTGCATTGTAAGGTCTCAAATGTATGCCTTCTGCAACGGACGAGGAGAATGAGGTTGGCAGTTTTGTTGGGTTGGGTGATTATGTTACAGATTCAGATTCCGTTTATGAATATGACAGAATAATTGAAGAGGAGTTGGCTGATGAATTGGGGTCTACCCAACAGGTCTGTTCTAATGAGCTTCAACCCTGGCTGAAGGATGATTCTAACATCTCAGTGGTGGAACCCCTGGCAGTGGTGAGACCTGATGATGAGGTTACTGATTTGGGGAGGGATTGGGTGGTTGATAACATTGGAGCTACCAGTGAGTTGTTGGGAGTATCTTCAAAAGGTAATAACGCTCAGACTTTATCTATTCTTCAAGCAATTGTGAGTGGAACCGAGATAGCAGTCACTAATGAAGTTATAAATACGAAGCCCATATCGTCTTGGAAAGGGATTCACGAGATTAAGAATCTCATCTCTGACGTCAACTACGATAAGAAGAAAGGCGTGGTGATGGAAAGGGGTAGGACTAGGAGCAGGAGTTTGAAGAAGGGGGGAAGGGGAGTTAATCTCAACTGGTTTTTAATGAAGCTACGAATCATTTCATGGAGTGTTCGTGGTCTCAATGACCCGAATAAGAGGAGGGTGGTGAAGGTAGCTTTAAGGAAATGGGGGGCTCAGGTTGTTTGTTTGCAAGAAACCAAGATGGCATCCATTACTGACGGGGTGGTTAGAAGTTTGTGGGGAGGAAGGTTTGTGGAATGGGAGGCTTTGGACGCTATAGGTTCTTCGGGTGGTATCTTAGTTATGTGAGACAGTAGGTGGTTGTCCAGAATGAATGTGTGGAAGGGGAGATTTTATGTTTCTTGTGAGTTTCAGATGGAAGAGGATTATTTTAGATGGCTCTTTTATGGGGTCTATAAACCGGTCGTTGATATTGACAGACCCATTTTATGGGAGGAACTAAGCCACGTTCAAGGTCTATGCTCTTTACCTTGGTGTCTGGGTGGGGATTTCAATTCAGTCAGGTTCCCGTCAGAGAGGTCTACTTGGGAAGAAGGTCAGTAGAGACAGATCAGTTTTCTGACTTCATTGAAGAGCACCTTCTCATTGATCTACCAATGGAAGGTGCAACCTATACTTGGTCTAGTGGTAGAGACCCAGTTACTCTCTCAAGATTGGATAGATTTTTTATCTCTGGGGAGTGGGAAGAAAAATTCTCGGATGTTGTTCAGGCGGTATTAGAAAGGGTTACCTCTGATCATGTTCCTTTAGTTTTGGATTGTGGGGGTTTGTGTTCTCGGAAAACCCCATTCCGTTTTGAGAATATGTGGCTGAGAGTGGAGGACTTCCGAGGG